CATAAATGGTTCGAATGTGCTCAAGACTTCTTTTGATGATGTACACGTCAACTAGCGCGTCACACTTGCATTCTTGCATTTTATTTGTCAGTCGTCACTTCAAGCACACCTTGTAAGCGTTGGTTTACTTCGTCACGCGTGAAAGCTTCGAGCGTCACTATCTACATTTGAGACCACCTCAACAAACATCTTCGGCTTCATTAAGTCGACCTGTGCAGTAGATGGCATGTCAAAACAGAACATGAACAAACAGTCTCATTTCCACGAGCAAATTTGGTTTTGACAGAAAACTCAGATGAATCCAGCTGAACCTCTCGTTTATACTGGTCGAATCTTGAACTGGTTGGATTCAAGTCGAACATATGTTTGACGGAAATTCGGAGACTGCGCCATTTCCGATGAGCCCCAAGACGGGCGTGAGCTGTCGATGGGACTGCAGCAGGCTTAAAAGTAGTGTGTTACAGATAAGCGAAAGGAAGAAAAAACAGTTTTCACCATCCTCTCGTACAAGCAAACTGTCTTTGTCAGTCATACTAGAAGTGTAGTCATCCCTCCGGATTTTTGGAGAGTTTGCATCTAACGTGTCAAGGAATTTGATTCGCACTGAGAGTTTTAAGATGCCCTAAAGAAATATAGTGGATAATTTTTTTCTCCCAACAAGTCCGCTGGTCAACGGGTCGTTTGGAAATCTGTCATGTTTTAGCGATCCTTGTACTGGTTGTTCTGCTATTCAAACCGACGATGCACGCACAATACTTACATGCATGAAGTGGTAAAAATGCTACAGTTTGCTCTTTATTCGCTGTCGCATCTTGCCTAATGTCTTGTGTGATAAAACAACAATACTAATAGTCCAGTTGTAACATGGCATCTGTGATTAGCTTCCATTCCACCCGAAAGCAGCGCGAGGTTTGAGATAATGTCATGTCACCTGGGAAGGGAGAGGTTGGCTCCGAAGCACGGTACTTTTGGTCACCAGGTTCACACCTTAACCACTGATCGAATTCAAGACTCAATCGGCTGTTTGGAAAGAGCAGACCGTCAAACAGTCCAGATCTATGTCCGGAAGTTGCGTTTTTCTTGAAAATCGCTCATGCCACTGATGGTATAGGACGAACAACAGAATGAGCGAATTTAGGTGAAACGAAGTTGGTCAATGTATTGACTTGCTAAATGAGACATCGTATACAGCGGATTCTATCAGAGTTCAGTTATCACTGCGTGCTGCTAACTTGCCTACTATGAATTTTCCTCCACGAAAGATCGGGAATTAAATAGCACTGTTGATTCTGTTCCACTGCCTGACTCTCTACCCTAGTTGCCTACTGCCATCCGAATCAGGATACGGATCATGACTGACCGCTATGTTTGGATCAGTTATTTGACCTCAGTAGGGCAGACAGCAAGTGGCGCTTACTGTTCGAACTGAGTAGGCCGCTACCATAAGTTGTGTTCGCGGATTTCACGCGTACCGATTGTACATACTCTCAGATTCAGACTCGGAAAGTTCATAATGCATGAATGCATGAATAGGCGCGCGTTGTCGTTGTAAACACCTTGAGCCTGTATGGTTTTACATGGAGTTTGACCCCTAGTATTTTAAAAATCGTGTCGACAAACTTCTTGTTTCACATTGAGACATCATTTGAGTAATGAAGTGATATGTATTTATGATTCGGAATACGGTAACCCAAAGAATCTTGGGTATTTTGCTCTCACAGTGATCTGACGCCTCAGAATCGCTAGTCTGACGTTCTCACAAGTTTCGGAGAGTGCTTCGAGCACATCGATGGTTGAAGATAAGGTGTTTTCTTGTACCTTCGATACTCGTTGGTAGTGGTTCACATCTACAAAGCAGTAGAGCAACGTTGTCTGGCAAGCTGACGTCAGGATGTATTGCAGATTTTGATCAGGCAATTGAAAATTGCACAACTGCGTAGGCAATTGACTGGATTTTCTGATAGGTAGAGTTTGTGATTTGAATCTGTCCATTATTCTAGTGGCACTTTGCACTTCACACAGTCAGATTACTCGGCAAAACTAACCGACTTAGAAAAAACTGTTTGCATTTGGGGGATTCTGATCCGTAAAGAGTAACAACATCAGACTATTCAGCTTCTGGAAGAGAATGCTTCAGGAACATTGCAATTCTGGTGTTATTAGAAACTAAATAGGACGGCTAAAATAGCCTTGGTGAATTCGAAAGAGGAATATTAGGAGAAAATATCAGCAAGTATCAGTGAGTGCACTATTGACGGTAATGTCTTCACCCTTTGGCTTCTTTATCAGAGTTTTTTTCTAGAATAAATAGCAACCAAAGTAGCAGTGAGAAGTGAACACATGTCGCGATTTCGGATGTCCGGTAGAACAAAATTCCTTCTGGACCGTTTTGAGCAGACTTTTCACCATATTCTGAGAACCGCAACAGAGTTTCTACGGTAGTAATCACTCCTCATTCTATCCTCAGAACTGTGCAGTGCAGGAGGAACACTTTGTTTGCTTTTCTGGATGTCAGGTGTACGTGAACGACAGTCATATGCTCCTTGTTGAGGTCACTAGATGCAGTACGTTGAACACAATCGTCATCCGTTAGATTTCTACACATGGGAGTACTCGTGGGCACACATCTCCTGTTGTTAAGTATTCTTCCTAAAGCATACTCGGCAGATTCACACAGTATTAGAAACAACCTGCAATGGGGTGCTCAGTTTCGTTACGACCCCTAAGTTCGTCTCCGGTTAAATTAGGAAAACAATCAACCTGATAAATATCAAGCTTATGTTGCTCGTAATTAGTCAACGCCTTTGTTTTGGTGAGGCTCAAGTGGTTAGAGCGCGAATTTACTAACCGGAAGGTCCGTGGTTCGAACCCGACCTCTACCACTCGACTTCCCCTGTCTAGGCTTGGGCGACCTGGCAGTATCCCAGCCCTCGTGCCTCCTTGGTGTGGCATGGCAGCTAGGCACCTAGAGCGCGAGTTTCCTAACCAGAAGGTACATGGTTCGAATCCGACAGCCCTCGTGCTTCCTTCGGATGGCATGGCAGCTAGGCACCGAAAGGGGGCTACAGCTGAACGCTTATTATTTTTATTATTTGTTTAGCTAAACAAACACTGCCCTTTGCGTTAATTTGTACCATTTGGTCAGAGCTGAGGTCTGTGCTTAAGCTATGCGGCCCTCAGCTCACGGTGGGTTTATCAGCCTTTCCTACAATAAAACCAAGGGCGGTCGACCGGATTTGGGAAATTCCGTCCCACTTTAGGCCACTCTAGTTTGAAATTAAACAAACAGAGGAGAACTGGGAGTTCTTTACCATATGTGCGGAATTCTGCGTGGACTGTGGGCTATTCAAATGACTTTCGTTCGCTTTAACACCATAGATTTTATCAGGAAGGTCAGCTTCCTGAAAGCAACCACTGAATGCCTGGAATCTACGGGGACTCTCAGCTCCGCTGGGTGTTGACCAGACAGACAACGCCCCCTCAATATGCAGCACGTCACAGCCTTGTATCAAACCCAGACAGCTCGAGTCAGCGTTGATCAAGGTCAGACAACGCCTCCGCAATATGCAGCACGTCGCTGCCTCGTACCAAAGCCAGACCGCGTGCGTCAGCATTGGACCAAGTTCAGACAGTATCCTTCCAATAAAAAGCTTGAGGCCGTTGTACTTTTTGCACTCGCACGCACCCGCGCTCTCGCACCCACTTTGTTGGAATATAGCTATTGTGTTCCCTTCCGTGAGCATTTTTCTCTCCGACACTAGGCACTGGAGCGGGGTCAGCAGCAATACCACAGGCCGGTGAATCAGCAGATATAACAGACTTTGATAACGAATTAAACTTAACTCAAAGTAGTATGGGCTTCTAAAAGTTATATCATATTACTGGTTAGTATTGTTCACATTTTCCGTTTCGGCCCTGTGTGTCATGATATGACAGGCTTGTCAAGTAGATCCCACTCTTTTGCGGATCAAACTGACCGGGAAGTTCTAAAAGGAGCGTCAATAGATCAAAACAATCGAGACAACTCCTGTTCGTCGTCCGAGGTTCTGGTGAAAACAGTCACACCAATTAAGCGTGAACATAGTTGCCCGTTAGGACGCATTCAGAATGAACTGGTAGAATAGAGAGAACACTCTCTCCTAACATGTCATATGCGCCGTGTTCAAATCCCAACCAAAACAAGAATGGCTGTGATAGAAGCGAAACTCGAGTCCAGTGCTTCTTCACTAAAGTACGCTCCGCAAGGAGGTAGGTCAGTTATTCACACGACACCAATGTGAATACAACCTCTACTAATGGGACGTTTGTAAGCCCAACTTCGTGAAATTAGTTAGCAATACCGTTCATTTTGGAGAGGCGTTCTCAAGAGAGAAACTGCCCATATCTCCCTCACACGTCCAGTCAACCATTGCAAATGTCTGCTGTTCATGGTCTAGTCATGACTAGCAGTGAAATCCTTAGAAACTTATAAGACAAAAATAACAAAATAAGTAACGTGCTAGTTCAGAGGGCGGTTTCCGTGAGAACACCGCCCGATAAAATCTTCTGGAAATAAAGTTCTCAGTGACTTTTGGACCACCGTCGAGCTTGAGTAGTATCCACACCTACTATTCATATCGATTGAACTGATGCCCTAAATTGAGTAACCAATGATGGGCCAGATTCGAAAGTTTAAGTCAAACCGGATAATTGGAATATGTAAGAACACTAGAGCCGTCTCTTTTTTTGGTGGGTAGTACCCGTAACGTGCATGTCACTACCCCTGGGAAGATTAGAACTCAGAAATCCCGATAAGTTTTTCGATCAGCATGACACCGAACCACTGGGGGCTGAGTAGGTAGGTCAAAGCATATTTAGGGGGCCTTGCTGAAGCATCAGATCAGAAGCAAAACACGCTCAACCCTCTTAAGAACAAACCCGTTCAACAGTGTCTGCACTGACTGAGGCAAATTGTTGGTACAAGCGGGACGAACACCGCTCAGTTAATGGTGAACACTCACTTTAGAATTGATGTATCTGAACTTGTGCGCGCTCATGGGTATCCCATCCACGTAGCGAGCTTTCTTTATAAGCTGAAAACAAGAACAGAGAATTGCATCAACATCAGAATGGGAAAGAGGGACAGAACGCTTAGACTGATGATGCCTAAGTGTGCAATCAGAAGTGCCCACGTGCAACATGGAGGTTTTTTTCTGATGGTTTGAGGCACGTTACCACTAGTGCACAAGCATGTTTTTTGTACTACACAATACTAATACGAATACAATCAGCCGCCTCACTTTATCCTTTCTTTGTCTTCATAAACTGCGTACTTCTGGAGAACATCTGTATCCTTCCGAAAAAGCCGTTCTCATTTCTCATCCTGAATCATTTATTTCATTATGAGGACGCCAGGAGGTCAAGCTTGAGGTTGGACAAAAGACCAGCACTTTTTTAGCACATTTTTGTCAGAATCAGTGCCTCATCAAGTATCCTAACATGGCTCACAAACTGCTCTTTTTATGTTCGACCTTTCTGGCTTATTCACTCTTATCCTTGAGCCACTTGAAAGTTATACCAACTTGAAAATAGTGTGGAACAGCACCGTAACAACCTCAAAGACCCTGGGAAAAGAAGAAAGTCCAAGACAAACATTTTTATTTAAAAAAAAAAATGTTCCAGGCAGGTTATATTCTACTTAACCGCTTTTCTTTCATCTCTGACGTCATTTGGTCGGCTTAGTGATTCAGTTCATGGGATCATGTCACCTCAGAGTTACGATGCTGCTGCTCCCTCAAACGACAGATCACCCGTGTTGGTCAGTTACCCGTCAGAACTAGGTTTTGACTAGGAAATCAGCAGAGGAACTGAATTCGAACATTTGACTGAAGACCTATCATTGTAAAACACAACTAAGAAGCACGCGCAACGCGTTTAGTAAACTCAGAAAATGAAATCCCAGTGGCTTCATTGAGTTGTCTCATGGTATCCACTCATATATGTAGCTCTGGCTTCATCATGAACCTATCGATCGATCCAAACCAGTGAAGTTGACACAGCCATCAGGGTTGCTCGAACACACTTTTGCTCCTATTGTCAACAGGGTCCTAGTGCCATTCTGCCAGAGTACCTCACTGTGTAGTTCTTGTGAAAGACAAGTCCTATAGGGTCGCATAAACACAATCGTAGCCATGTGTGAGATCGGAATGTCCGAAAAAAGGCTCCCCATATCTGATGCAAATGATTGCTGGATCGGCAGAATTTGCATTCAAATCACTGGTTCGAAACAGTCCTCCCTCCGTCCTGCGTAGTTATCCTTCTGAGTCCGGAAAGAAGCACAGAGGCACCGGGCTCGTGTTTCGCTCTCATTAGAGCCCATTAGTAGTGTATATTCCTCGTTGTGTGAGGACTTGAAACCCGAACACCCAAAACACGAAGGGAACGTCTCACCGCTGCTCGATCGGGGCAACTGGATGGGTGAATATCTTCAGAACGTGACCGGCCTGTCCAAAAAGTTGAATTGAAACCCTGTACCCGTCCAGGTTGTATCGATCGACTCATCCATCTAGAGGAAGTCTTAATGGGGTGTGACATGGAAACTTTTGGACAGTTTTCAATTATACCTAGCTGTTTTCGGGACTTGTGGAAGCTATATTCAGATGTGTCCAGCTTGCGCTGGATGGTCAATGGTAACACGCTTGGCTCGCATTTCAGACGTCCGGAATTCGTATGCCACCATGGGCAAATACAAGTATTTTGATGGGCTCTACTAACAGCGGAACTCGAGTGCAGGGGCTCCCATGATTGGTGTAGCCTAGCCAAAATAATATCGTCGGAACTGGGAAGGATAGATCAGATCACACCAACTCCGTGTCAGTGCGACGGGTATGATAACATGAATTAACATAAAGTTAAGTGTGAACGAGCGTGGTTCCCTGAAGTACTCCTAATTTTGGAACCCAGACGGTCAAGTATTTTCATTTGTTTATCTTCTGACCGGCAGCACTAAACGTAACAAAAGTGAATCAGTTACGTAACACAGCTGATTTCGTGGGTCAAGTGGGAGATATGACATGGTGTGTGCTGTAATCAGACGAGAGACGAACACCACACAATTTTGTTGGAAGGATCAAACTAAGCATTCTGTGCGCAAATTTCTGATATACGGAGTTCACCCTTACTCCGTCCTATAAAAAATCTGCTCGACCTTTGTTTTCTTTTCCAATATCACTATGAGAATCTTTCAATATTCTTGACTCTCGGTCCATCTATTGGGCAGTGTTTGTCCACTTGGTCCAACTAACCCTCCAACAAGTATCAGCTTCGTGACCAACTGCGCATTGCCATTGAGCATGGCCGGCAGAGTGCCAAAGTCACTCTGTTTGTGAACCACACCGTCAAGTTTCAAGTTGCTTTTAATGAAATCTTTTCTTGGAAACAAGTGGTAGTAAACCAAGTATGTGAACCGTGTGTTCCACAGTCAGTCGAGCGAGCACTCACTGTAGCAATAACGAGGATTGATAGCTTTGGAGTTTAGGAACGAATGCCGATCGCATTCCTCGCCATAGACCATTTCAAATAGGTGGTTCATTTTATCCTTACTGTGTACTGATCTATCAAAATATATGATCTAACAAGAATAATGCTTGCCTTTAGAGTTCCTGAGGGTTCCGTACAGTTCTGACACCCTGATTCACCATTCGATTGCCTGTTTTCACTGGCGCTACCGAGTGGGGGCATTAACTGAGGATATTCACATAAAGGGCGTTCCTCTTGAAGAAATTTTCCCTTCTGTACTCCTTGTGGTGGCATGTACAGACCATAGTTTGCATATTCCACAACGTCTAGGCGGCATGTGGTGAAAATACGTCGAAGAAGTTCACGAACGAGTGTGTCTGTCGGAACCCTATAAACAAACTGTTAAAGTAAGAAGAAAACAAACTTTTGGGTTACGGAATCAACCAAAATCTGTTGCGTACAAGAAAATTCATGTGGATACTAAGGATATGATGGGTGCTACAATACATTAGAGGATTGACACGGGGTGGAATTGTTTGATTTTAGAGCACGATTATAGTGGAATGCAAAGAAAACTTCTGTTTCCATAACTAAACGTTCCACGTTATCTGCTTCGTAGAAGCAGCAGATCACCTCTACTCTTAAAATCCTAGAAGATTTCTTGACATTCCTTTGAAGTCAGTTACTATGGTATTCGCATCAACCAATGAATAAAAACAATAAAAACGTTCAAAAAGCTTAACAGTATTATACTTACTTTTAAAATGAAAGTGATAACAGACACCAGTCGGAAAAAATTTTTAGCCGATTCAAACTTTTCATAAATTTGTCCAGGATAAGGGTTTAGATTGCGCGTGATTTTTTCACGAAACACCCTTGCCGTTAACAACCTGCGTGCGGGCTACTGCCTATTTGGAATTTCTACGGTAAGGTTGACTCCGGCCCCTGATAATACAAATTCCGGAACTTCTAAGCCCATGAGATCACTGTTAACAACGTTTCCAGGAGTTCTGTGGTTCGGTTTGTAAGATGACTGCAAAAAAGCCATAGTTGTATACGGTTGGTTTGTTACGCAATCATTATGGAATTACGAGCCCCAAATTCGCTTCCCAGTTTTACATAACCAAGACATATTCTCGGTGTCAGCGGCGCGGTCGACATTATGGTGTTTCTATCACACTTTTTGCTAGATAACTGCCTCCGGCAGGTAGTATTTTGACACAAAAAGGGCACCGTTAGGCCACCATCAAAAACCTCAAAGCCGTTCCTAATAAGATCCGACTGAACTTTTTATACTACTTGGTTGCTTGGGTTAGGGGTGGTGTTGCTCCATCCGCTCCAATCTCTAACCAGATTGATACCCATCAAAATGGTTTTCTTTCCTTCCTCAGATTTGAAAAGAAGTGCAAAAACTGTCTAAACGAAAAAACAGCTAGGCCTTCCAAAATCGTCTTTTTTTAATTGCTCACTAACCACCGTATTTTGGGAACTGGCCTTAGGTATTCCCTCTGAACTCACAGGAAGGTTTGTTACTTCTCCCTAGGCTATTCGCCCGAGTCCCTAAGTTTCGAGATGAATAGTTCACACATTGAACTGAAAGACACATATACAACCTTCTTCAGAAGTCAAACGGAACAGACCGCCGTTTGACATTTTACGGCTAAACGAAAGTTACGACAGCAAATACCTCTGAATTCTACCTACGCAAACGCATCGATCAGATAGCAGAATTAACAAATATCCCCGTCTGGCTCAACTGTGTTGCTGAGATTCTCGTATTTTCTAGTGACCAATATGTCACGTGTTATGTCTTTACTTCAAAATCATGTAACGCTGGAAGATTGATGGTAATAGGAGGAAGGCAGAATTAAGCTACATTCAGTCGTCCCTGACTTAGCGTGAATCAGCCTTCAAATTGATTTCGCTGTCGTTATACCAGATTTGAAACACGGCTTCTCTGAATGGAAATAACTAACGATAAACATTAAAATTAGATTTTCAGGATCACTGACCCCGTAAGTGGAAATTTCTAGACACTTCACATTGGGGCCTGCAAAACCCCTTCTGAAAAAAACGACGGTTGGATAGAGGTTCATCTGTGTTTGGACCACTGAAAACGTCGAAATGTGTACAGCAAAATGCCACTGTAGACCGTGGCCCACATCATTTGACCTGCTAACCTTCATTTCAAAACTCGTGAAAACCGCCATTAAGAGGGTTCAATTTTGAAGGTCCCCGATATGTAATCTCTAACTCAAACTGCACCGCCATATGGCTTTTTGAAGTCGCTCTCTTATGTGACCCGTTTAAGCACAGCGGAAATCACGGATACGGTGCTTCCTGAATAGTTGCGTGCGTGTTTCCACCACAAAGGATAATTCATGGTGCAATAAAGTTTGGTCGGTCACGATTTTTGTGAGATGTAACGTCAAAGAAGTCAACATTTAATGGAAATCGGGATTACATCTATCCAGTGGGCTTCATGATAGACGAAAGCAGATTCATCAAGGTTACAAATAGTGAAGCATCAAGTGAAAAAAGTCAATTTGTCATTTGAAAAAAGGCTTCATGCACGCCGTGAATTTAAATTCCCCTCCCCCCATTACAATAAGCCGAATGAAAGCAACGACTCGTTGAATGATTTGAATTGCGAGAACATGTAGGCTGGTTTTCATCGTTTCGTTTTTATTCAGTATGGTGGCAGAGCCAGAGAAACCCCACAACAATCCAGAACAGAGCATGTTTTCAAAAGAATGCTTGCTCACCGATAGTGTCTACAAGCAGATGCGTCATGCCTACTCAGTTAGGCTGTCTTTTTTGTAATAGTGCAGAAAATTGGGGCTGTACTCCATTACCTATTTACCTAGATTTTAGTGGCCTCGCATATGTCATAGTAGTAAGTTTGGCGTACGTTTCAAATTGCTGCTGAAGGACTACACGTGAACCCACATTTTTACAGCTTTTGTCAAGGGTGATTTGTATACTGAAAGTTCTTTCAAACGAACATTTCACCTAGAGGAAACTACTGACAAGGTTGAAGAAAACTCTTCGACAGCCCACGACCGGTTTCGCCCTTCTTGGGGCTCATCAGGTAGGTGCAGTCCTCGAGTTTCCGTCCGTCAACCTTATGTTCTACTTGAACCCAAATTGGACTGTTTTCGAAAAACCAAACTGATTCGCAAATGAGTGCTTTCCTCTAGAACATTTCACCTCTCTAAGAACATCCAAGCAAAACATGTCCTTTATAAGGGACATCTATCGTTATATAATATCGTTATTATCCGTTTGGACCGACCACTCCACGAAAAGGTTAATTATGACCAAAAGTATGACGAGAGTTTGTTAGAAGCGTAAGCAGATGATTCGTGACAACGCACAGTGTCAATCTACTGATGACTGGTGCCCTATCCCATGCAAATACGAGTTAACCACACTGTTACTCAGCTGCTCGTGGCCGAACGAACTACCAGCGAGTTTTGCTCTTCCTAAAATTTTGTGACGCACACACTAGCGACGGTTCTCAGTCAGGACCGGACGCCTGTAGAATTCATTGCGGCCTTTCGGCACAGACTGACTTCGCTTGCAAGATAGAACCTAGGCTGAAATTTTGGACAAGTTTTAAAAACACTTTTTGACACTTCGTCTTGAAAGACTACCAGAGTGAAGTACGCAGAACTGATTTTCCTAGAAGGGCTACTTTTGTAAAAGTGGGTTTACGCTGATCGTTCTGGAACCGTTTCTTTTTCGAGGACTGTCCTGTAGAAGGGATTAAACCGCATCTCTAAAAGTGAGTTCACGGAAGAGTTCTATGAGAAAAACCTTTTAAAACCCATAGATTGATCAAGATATCTACGTAGTTAAAACATGACAGTATCACTTAAATGACGGTGTACGTTTGTGTAAGTCGTGTCTCATGCTCTTAACAACCGGTTTTTAAAATTGTCTACTTTTTTGCTAGCCCCTCGAATTCGCTGATGACCACTGGGCTGACCAGAAAGCGATCACTTTTGGTAGATACCTCTGGAATGAGTGACTGGACTGGTGCAGGGCAGATGAAAATAATGTTTTGAGGTCACGTCGGGAAACAAACTTGTCTGTACTGCGATGGCCTGAATGCGTACTTGTTGCTGAAATGTAACATATTCAGTGCGCGAGTTTTACTTCTTGCTCTTTCTTTGAGGAAATCTTTTTGTTTATCAGACAGCTAGGTTCATAACGATTGATGATAGCCTTTCTACAGCTCTGGATTTCAAACCGAATCTTACAAGACCTTACCGAAATCATTCTGTTCATGCGTGTGACTTCTTCCGGAGGTTGGGAAAAAGCGCATTAAATTTGACGTGTTGTAGGTTCATTAAAGCAGTCGCTTTGTAGACCGGCAACCGTTCAGAGAACACACTTCTGCTTGGCCTTTTTGATGCCTTTTCTCAAAGGAGCAACATTTACCTGGTCCCATTGATACCACTTAATAACATGTTGGTAAAACAACGTTGGTAAAAATTTCTGTGAACTCACTCGTGATTTTTTCAACAGACAGGTTTTGGTTGCGAGTTCAATTTTTGTGCCTGCCCAAGTCACTTTTCCATGTACTACAGATAGAACACCCCGGACCCTTGTGGATGTAATAACGTCTATTTCTGTTTTGAAAACATCGTTCAGCTGTAGCATCCTATCAGTGCCCAACTGCAATGCACCAGAAGGGAGCAAGAGGGCTGGGATACTGTCAGGTTGCCCAAGCCTAGACAGGGAAAGCTGAGAGGCAAGGGTTGGGTTCGAACCACGGACCTTCCGGTCAGTAAATTTGTAACCTAGTCAATGAGCCATCTGATCCCTTCTGTTTTGATAAAATAATAACATGTGTTACACCTCAACCTTAGGAGCTCACCGGATGTAGTTCACTGGATTGTCACCTGACCTGTTGGGTGAACCTATTAGTCTGTTGAAAACCGATAACTGAGTTACCTCCATCGGGGGGAGTAGTGGTAACCTCGCATGTCAGATGATCTGAGTTCGAGCCTGGGCAGAGCCAAGGATAGGTCTAATAGGCCCAATAATAGCGCAGCCCGACTCAATAGACCAATTATGGAAGGACGAAAGGAGGACTATACAAACGAAAGTAATGTGAATATGAACCCCGCAACCACCTACCACTAAAACTGTGCTCTTAGCCCCTGTGCTACTCTCTTTCGAGACAATACTCCTTCGCTAGAAAACTTCACACGGCTCTGTGCATGGTGACCAGCCAAACGAGCTGCCTTTCAGAATGTCTCCGAATGATCGATCTCCCACACAAGGTCGTAGGCTGCGTACTGACCAATAAACCTGTTACCACATACATGTGCTGGTCAGTAACACAACGATTCCGGATTCAGTATGTCGCAGTAAACCCAGTGCACACTGATAAGTTAACGCAAATCAATTCGACAGTCGGCGCGCCACTGTCACATGAGTAGCCTAACATTCATTTGGATCTCTACCTACTCAGATTGGCTCAGGACAGTGAGCTAAAACATGTACAAGAATAGCTACTCAACTGATTAATTTCAATGTTTACTTTGGACAGGTTGACGCTATGGAAGCATTCCTAGTGAGCGTGTCAGCCGAATTGTGAATAGAACGCAGTCCCTCCAGCGTGTGTAACAAATGAGAGCCGTCGGACATAATATTTTGGCTAAAATACTGTTCACGAACTTTGAAACTCCACTGTGCCTTTCACAAACATGGTAAAGGCAAGCACTACTGAGGAATCTAAGTACGCGTACCGATATCCACCAAGCAAAACAAGATAGCAGGCATGAGAGATCAACTCTGTGCCTTTCCACGAAGAATACATTGTACTGAGTAGATCTATTATAGAAGAGTTGAGGTATGAGCACCATGGCGAAACGTTCGTGTTTTTACTGGCCCAGCATTAAAACAACTAGCTAATCCTGACTGCTGTTCGGATAGACTCAGTCATCTAAAAGAAGAAACATACTTTGCTTGCAAAAATCGGAAGCACCTTTCAACAGCTTGGTCATTCCAACGCTCCACAGGTGGCCTAATTGCAGACGATTATAAGGAATCGAAATTGAGTTTCCTACTTTTATGATCAGTGCTCCATATAATAAGCTGAAAGAACTCTTTTTACCTCTCTCTGACCATACCAGGAAAACGTGTTCTGAACTCGGCTGGGACATACAGATAGAATAGTTGAACTCAATCAAGCTTTGCCCTGGAACAACACACTCCGCGGATATCGGTAACGGCCGGACATTTGGCCTGTAGACGTAGGAAGGCCAGTCGTTCCTTCGAAGTTTGTCTCAAAACTTAAAAATTGATTCTTCTAACGAATGTGATTGCGGTTGGATAAAACATGTTGTGAGCTTGATTAGTGTTTAGACCTTGGAAGATGAGTCTCGTCATTCTAGCTTGATGTTCTGTGATGGTCAGACCATCGTTTACTCGTAATAACTTCACTATTCCGTACAAGACAAGTTAGTTGAGAACAATATTTAATCATCTTTTTTGTTTAGAATATCTGTACAGGCTTACCTTCCACTCATGATCCGGAATAATGATTTCAATGAGCGTTTTGCTAACTTGTCCCATCAAGGAGTCGGAGGAGGTTGGGGATAAGAAACTATCAACGGAATATTGGTAAGTCAGTTGGGGATCCGGATCTTCAGAGAGTAGGCCCATGCTTTTGACAGTTGACAAAAACGATTAGATTAAGGCAAGGTTGCAGGCGGTACGGTTTCAACTGGATCGAACCGGTGGAAAGTCTTGGGGCGACATGGAGTTCACGGTCTCCAGAGCGATTCACTGAGTTAGTTGTGATTCATCCGTTAGACTGCAAAAGACTGAGGGGATAGTGAACAGTACGGTAAAACCCTCTTTGTCATTTGAATTTTTATCGAAAAAAATATTATAGTAAATGCTGGAATGTGGAACGGAATAAAGGAGCGTGCTTTCGGTAGGGAACAGACTGGCCTTTGTGGACCACTTTTAAACTGTCACCTGGCTTATCTAAGTAGCTGTCCAACTTGCATAGGCTCAGCAAATGATCAACAAACCTGTTTGATTCACCATGAGACGTGTCGAACACAACCACTTTCTGGAGTCATTGAGATGGAATAATTCTTAACCGTTACAAAATGGATATAACACCCTTTCTTTGTCCATTTCTCAGTAAGCACAACCCCCGTCAGTGAACATTTCTGATAAAGCGTAAGCAATAAGCGTTTTGGTTTCGTCTGAAAAATCAGACGATTTAATATGGCTTGGCAGGACAGGATTCCGTATCATGGTGACACTCAGCAACACTCAGTTTAGCAATCGTTCGTGCTGACCCTCCTAACTATAATGTCCACCGCCCCATTTCGTCAAAAGTGTGAGAGCAAGCTGAAGTCTTCCCACTTTCAGTGGAACTCGAGCTGATAGAATTGGAGCTTCGATCAACCAAAAGTGGACCCCCGAAACAGATCAGAACCGTATCTGTCAGATCCCCAGAAACACAAATAAATTAGAACTAGCCACAAAGACAGGTGACTGGCGATAAAGGAACAACTGTATTGCCTGCAAAAAAAAGCCCACAAGTAAGGGTTATGTAGTCGAAATTCAGCGAAATCAACATCCAGTCCTGCAAGAATTGCCAAATTCATTTATACCAAAGGCACGTGACTGAAGCGTGTTTGGAATGTAGAGCAAAATATTTCGCAGGAAAATATGACAAACGGAGTCCGAGGTTATTTGTGCGCACACACACACACACACACACGCGAAAAGCGGATAATACGCTTCTTATGCTCCATCTGGTCAGAACTAAGCACCACCGAAGTCATCACTTTCTGGAGTCATTGAGATGGAATAATTCTTAACCGTTACAAAATGGATATAACACCCTTTCTTTGTCCATTTCTCAGTAAGCACAACCCCCGTCAGTGAACATTTCTGATAAAGCGTAAGCAATAAGCGTTTTGGTTTCGTCTGAAAAATCAGACGATTTAATATGGCTTGGCAGGACAGGATTCCGTATCATGGTGACACTCAGCAACACTCAGTTTAGCAATCGTTCGTGCTGACCCTCCTAACTATAATGTCCACCGCCCCATTTCGTCAAAAGTGTGAGAGCAAGCTGAAGTCTTCCCACTTTCAGTGGAACTCGAGCTGATAGAATTGGAGCTTCGATCAACCAAAAGTGGACCCCCGAAACAGATCAGAACCGTATCTGTCAGATCCCCAGAAACACAAATAAATTAGAACTAGCCACAAAGACAGGTGACTGGCGATAAAGGAACAACTGTATTGCCTGCAAAAAAAAGCCCACAAGTAAGGGTTATGTAGTCGAAATTCAGCGAAATCAACATCCAGTCCTGCAAGAATTGCCAAATTCATTTATACCAAAGGCACGTGACTGAAGCGTGTTTGGAATGTAGAGCAAAATATTTCGCAGGAAAATATGACAAACGGAGTCCGAGGTTATTTGTGCACACACACACACACACACACACACACAAATACTGTCATATTTATTCGAACAAACAAAATCTACTTTGTCGTTCTCTGTGATCGACCCGATATTTACGTACATATCGTATGCCTGGTGACGCATGCCCTGTAATCAATCGTAGTCAATCACATCAAATTTCTGGGTCAGAGGGGAACGATTCAAAAACTTTGCCTACACAGACGTTATAAATTAGAGAACTACTACGCTGCTGGTTTGATATGAATGCAGTCCTATTTACTGGACCAGAGAGCCGAGTGCCTTCGTAATCGTTGAGGCCATTAAGCAATGTGCTACTCAAAATTCGAACGTATGCAATGTTGGTAATCCTGATAAAGTTATGTGGCGATCTCAATCGTGGATGATAAACTCAGTTCCAAGAACGAGAGCAAGCAAACATGGTCAAAAGAAAGAGCGGGGCTTCAAAAGAGAAACTCCCAAAAGTCGACCATTAAAAATACGTTTTGAATACTCATTTAGAGTGCTACCACTCGTCTTAAGTGAGTTAACCTAATATCAATCAAGGTAATGTGACGAAACAGTAGATAGAAATGAATCTACAGTCGTTCTGGAAGAATCATTACGCATGGGTTGCTTCACTTCCGCTTTTACTCCCACCATGAAAGCGTAAGTTCAGGGAACAGAGGGAGGCTTTTTCCCCTCAGATGATGCCGTATTCACGTGCAGCTCCAATGAGACCACGGTTTCTGTGACCCACTCCCGTTGAGTTTAGTCTCACAGTCACAAATTCAAAAATGCATTTTAACGACTTTTATTTACTTCATCTATCTTTCGTGTTGTTCAGAAGGCATTTAGAAAGTTACACAACAATGGATCGTTAAAAGCAGGTGTTAGTTCACGTGACAAACCAGCAGTAGAGCCTTTTCTAACTTACAGTCAATAAAGGTGTTTGCCACAAGAATACAGGCTGTAGGCCAGAACTTATTCTAAGTTACAACTTATGAAAATTTGTTAACTGTAGGCACAACGGAACTCGTTGCTCCTGTGACAAATAGAGCAGAGTCACTATATGACACCCTTTTATATTGACAACCCCTCTAAGTAGATTGGCGATCTTTGAGTAAGTACATCCTAACGCTCCTATGAAACGAAACGGTTAGATAAAATAGCATGGATCGAAGAACTCGGTCGCTTTCCACCTGAGTTCCCTTTTAGTTCCAACCGCTGATAAGGAACCAGATTCGTTAGCCTCATACATCAATCAAGTACCTCCCGAGGGAGGTGTAAAGTCAACAACTTTTGCAGTCTGTTCTAAAATGAGTATATATGCGTATTCCTATATTTTCTTGAGGAATAAAACACATTCCAGACCCTCCTTGATGTCTGGTCCTTTATGAAAGGATTTTACACATGGTGAACACCTTTGTGATTTCACAAGGCAAGTGGTGTTTCTTTCTGTGTAAGTGTATGTCTTATCGAGTTACTGTAAATGCCAACTTTTGAGTTTCAAACACGCCCAAAACAAGAGGAAAAACGAAAAAGTTGCCACACAAAAATTACGTAACCTTTCTCTTTTTTACCGTGGAATGACAACACTCTTTAACGGTTTGGGTGAGAATGCTGAATTGAAGCACCCCTTTGGGACCACATGAAACGCTTGCTTTGGGTTTGCAGGCCAAGACACATCAATGTGCGTTTGTATGCGGTAAAATCTATTCTTATCACTTTCCTCAAGGGCTAAGGTACCAAAATTCGCCCCGTTCCTGGCATCAAATGTTTCCCACGTGGCATGGTATCTGCAGAATAAATATTGGCAGACATTCAAACGACTTCTATGGTTAAAGTTAGCGCCGCTGGCACAAATGTCGTGTTGGTCACGTGCTTGTATGGTGCCTAGTCAGGGGGCTGTGGCATAACTGAAGCTGTCATCAATGCATTAATAGACTGGCACAGAAGCAGTAAGTAACAGAAGTGGCCAATTAGTATATTCTATCCAGAACAACCAGTGGGCCTGGGTTTGTCTGAGGATGAAGATGGATATTCCATACTCTGTTTGAAGCAACGCCAGTAATGTGGCCATGGGGAGTATTCTCATCGTCAGCTGTTGTACAAGATTCATGACAGTGGTATGCTGTATGTACACACAAGCGACCTTCTGAGTCATTGTGTAAATCTTCAGTTTGGACTTTATACACTCACGGAGCATTTGTTGGGATGCCAGATAATCCATTTGTCTACAACGCTCGCTGTTCCATGTGGCTAACTGGGTGTGTATTCCACGATCCCCACTTTCAACTAGCTATTCTTAAGAAACCTTGGATAGTCTCTCCTATTTTGCCTAATTCCGAATCCCTGCTCCCAATAATGAGAATACCGCATGCCTCAACACTCTTATCTGGATGTTTGTCAGTTCATTTTTCATTACGCATACATACTGCAGACAGGCTTGAGGTTTTATTCCACTTTCAGCCAATCGATTTCAATCGAGCAACGATAACTTTGAAGGCGGAAATATAGGTGGTCCCATCATTTGGTTGAGATCACTTTTTGTTCCCACCAAACTGGAAAGTTTTAGAAAATAACGCTAGCGCGTAAGTTTCTTTTCCCATTCTGTTACGTTTAGGTGCGGGCGTCACCCTTGGTGATCATGAAGCGTATACGTCTGAATGCACAAAATACAATTCTGGTTTTTAGCCCCTTTACGATGAACCAATAGGGCGTGTGCATGTTCCTGTAATCACTATTGCGCCTGGCTGAACCACACCAAATAAGTAGTGTTAACGTCTTGTCAACGCCCTGGCATCAACGCTTCTGTCGTTGGTCAAAAATTTCGAACGACCATGGGAAGTGGAAGCCATTTTAGAAAACCAGGCGGGCTTTTATTTAAACTGGCTTGAAATTTATCCAGAATAAAGCTGTTGGGCTTGAACATGTTAAGGTAATGAAACAAAGTGTTTGAACTTGTGGAATGTCCTAGCTTCTAACTACAATAAACATGCGTCCATGTGGACATACAGTAGCAGGAATCCTTAGCAAAAAGAACCACGTGAACAATTTGCGGTTGGTTTTAGCGCACAGTTCACGTACCTGCGGAGTGTCTATAGAAGGTGAGGGATTTTTCAAACAAAATTCATACCACAGTAAACCGTCCATTTGGTCCCCCTACAAGGTCAAACGCCGCTTCCTGTAGTCAAACTAAGCGTGTTGTACTACAAAGGACTGATATCATCGGC